TCAGCAAATTCGGTGTCCAGGCATAGCTGACTAATGGTAAGAACCCCCAAATGGTTTTAACTAAAGTCAAAACTTTAAACGCGTTTTTCTCGAAACCACATTTTTTTATCGGGCGAAATTTTTTCTCAGAAACTATAAGAGATATTGACTTGAATCTTTGCGCATTTTGTTCCTTATTAAATTCTTTGAAGCTTCTCCCACTTTCAGCCAAAAATATTAACATTTAACATTGTTTGAAGCACCTTAAAGCTGCAAAAAAGCGGGCTAAAAATCGCCTGTTTTTTCATATGGCTGTCATTTTGTTAATTTGTAAGATTTTTTGCTGCCAACGGGAGAAGCTCCAGAGAATCTTATGCAGATTATTAATTTCATCACGAAATCTGTTTCAGATGAAGCCGTTCCAGAGAAAAGTCTTCGCCCGTCCAGGCGTTTGCGGCGAACAGGGGTCTGTTTGCCGCCATTTTGTGACGTCAATAATGTCTTTTTTTATGTCGAAAAAAATTTATTTGTAAACTTTAATGTTCAATAAACAAGAATCCCAAAGAGTTAGGCGCATTACTATTCATTTTCCTTAAAAAAAAATTTATTGAAAAACAGGCCGAAAAAAGGCAAAAGATTGGGAATACCCCCTTAATGCAGAAAGAGAAAAAGTTTAGACTTTAAGTGATCTATATTTCTTGACTTTGTGTGGTTTACATGTATAACTTATCAAGTGACACAGATGCGTCTTTTCAACTTTAGTTCTTTTGAATTTCAATTGTTATTAATTACAGTTCCTAGTCCTATCAGGCCTGTTTTAGAGAATGACCACCTTGGTGGGATTGTTTTATTTAAATTGAAAAAGGAAACTACTTATAACTACTGTTTACAACTACAACTACACTATACACACCTAATCTACTATATACAAATTACTTATCAAAGCATGTTCTGATAAATTACATTTTTGTGCAAATTTAGTCTTAATTTCGTTAATTCTGGAATCTATTTTGGCAATGCCTTCCTCTTCATGTAAATCTGTTATTCTAGTGTCGAAAGGACGATCAAGCACCATCCTCAGCACTCTATTCTGAGCGACCTGTTCCTGTGAGTCTTTGCACGTGATTCCCACACCGGAGCTGCGTAGAGGGTCTCAGGTGCTATGATTTGTTTGTAGACAGCCAGTTTGTTCACCCTTGAGAGGCGGGATCTGCGGCAAATCAGCGGATACAGTTAGGTGTCTGCGTCCGCTGATTTGCCGCAGATCCCGCCTCTCAAGGGTGAACAAACTGGCTGTCTACAAACAAATCATAGCACCTGCGATCCTCTACGCAGAACACTTGACTGCAGTTTTCTCTACATGCGAACGGAAGAGGAGCTTTTCATCAAACAACATCCCGAGATAGGTTACTTCGGCAGACCACTCAACCCTTCTGCCATCCATGATTACAGTACAAGATGGAGCCGGTTTCAGTTTGGGCTATTGCCGATGGAGGAACATGATCGCTTGTGTTTTGGAGGCATTGATTTTGATTTTCCACGTGGTGCAAAGGCGTTAAGGTATCGTTGAAGTTTGTTCGTTATTTCGCGAGGCATTCTTCTTTTGACGGCTATTGCGGTATCATCTGCGAACAGGAAAAACACGCAACCGTCACCGAGGGGAGGAATGTCGGAAGTGTAAATGCTGTAAAGCAAGAGACCCAGCAGACTGCCTTGCGGGACTCCTGCTGGGATGGAAAACGTGTCTGACAGGCAACCATTCAACGATACCTTTAACGACCTTTGCTGGAGGTAGTTACGGGTGATTTGAGGCAGATGTAAAGGACAGTTGAAGTTACAAAGCTTCATGCCAAACATTGTCAAACGCCTTTTCAACGTCTAACAAGTCCATGGCTGTAGACTTGGATACAGCTTTGTTACTTCGGATGTTATTCATCACGCGTACTAGCTGGTGATTAGTGGAGTGCCCCTTTCTGAATCCAAACTGTTCCGGAAGGAGAATGTTATTTTCCTCGACAAACTTGAGCAAACGATTGAGAATGAGTTGGTCGAACAATTTACTCAGCGCTGAAAGGAGGCTGATTGGTCTGTAGCTTGAAGGCAATGTCGGATCCTTACCGGGCTTGCGGATTGGTATGATTTTTGCTACTTTCCAGATGCTTGGAAAGTAGTGCAGTTCCAAGCATCTGTTGAAGATAGCGGTTAGAAGAGACTGCACTTTCATGCTGAGTCTCTTCAAGATCAAGTTGAATATACCGTCATACCCGGGAGCCTTCATGTTCTTGGTACATTTCAGCGCTGAGCGAATCTTTTGTACTGTAATCATATCCGCCGGAGGCATAGCACAAGGGGAGGCATCTAGGTTTTGAACGCATTGCGCAACCTGATCTTCGAGCGGACTTTGGATATTCGAGCCAAGCAAATGCGATAAAGCGACATTCTTGCCGATCGCATTTGCTTTCTCCTGTGGGGTGATTAAAAGCCGATCGTCATCATTTTCGACTCTGAGAGGTGGAACGGGTTTGGGATGAGTTTTCAGGACCTTGGCTACCTTCCAGAATGGTCTGGAGCGGTCGTCCAGATTCTGGACAACACGCCCGAAACTTTTATTTCGGAGTGAGTCCGTTCTGGAAGCAATTGGACATTTCACGATTTTTGCCCAGATCTCCAGTCCTCTGAAACTGGCGTCTACGAACATTTCTCAGGCGAATCAAGAGTTGGGTGTTGGAATCAATGGCAATAAACTTACCCCTCACAGGACGCACGGACATTAGGACATCAATTTAGCTTATCGATTACCAAAATGAACCCTGCAGCAAACCCAACACCCTCAGCACAGCGCACAGTGGTCCAGAATGCAGATTTAGGTGGAATGATATGTTTTGAGCCTGAAATTGAAACTTTAGACTAAAAGTCTCTGGTACAAAGTTGTTCCTTATAGTTAGGCCCTCATTTTTATGACAATGAATTCTAGGGTGGTTCCTATTATCATTAAAATCAAAAATCTAACTTTTTTGTTTGAATAAATTAAGGTATACATTCTTGGGCAAAGTTATAGCTGAGCTAATTTCAAGCAACTTTGTTGAAAACAACTTTTTTGTATCTCTTAAATTGGCCGATTTAGAGCTATTTGAGAAATTCGAAATAAGAAAACTATAGCAAAACAACTGTTTTTTTAAGAGCCACCCTAACTCAATTCAAGTCAATCGCTCTAAATCAGCCAATTTAAGAGATACAAAAAAAGTTATTTTCAACAAAGTTGCTTGAAATTAGCTCAGCTATAACTTTGTCCAAGAATGTATACCTTAATTTATTCAAACAAAAAAGTTAGATTTTTGACCCTGACCACCCTAGAATTCATTGTCATAAAAATGCGGGCCTAACTAAAAGAAACAAATTTGTAGAAGAGACTTTTAGTCTAAAGTTTCAATTTCAGGCTCAAAACATATCATTCCACCTAAATCTGCATTCTGGACCACTGTGCGCTGTGCTGAGGGTGTTGGGTTTGCTGCAGGGTTCATTTTGGTAATCGATAAGCTAAATTGATGTCCTAACGATCATATAACGTGAAGCAGCTTAAGATTGAACCCACGGTCTTTTGCAAAGTAAGCAAACACGTTTGCCTCTAGGCAAACGAGCTTCTTTTCAATCATTGAGTTGCTGTTATTACCATGTAGTCGTTTTAACAAATAAAACGATTGACGAATCTTGAATGTGAATGGGCCTGAGATAAGACTCATGATGTTTTGCTCAGTAAGCAAAAACGGTCGTTCTAAGGCCACCGAGCTCCTCATATCACATCATACCGTTACGCGAGTTGTTGTAGCCATTCAAACATGGCACCGACAACGACGACAAGTTTCGAAAAATACAGGATTAACTAGCGAGTTTAAAATAAATCCATTTAGTATTAAAGAACCTGGGACCACATTTTTCTGCTCAGTAAGTAAGCCACTGTAACCGATGATCTTTCAAATCCAAAAACTAATAGCTACGAAAAAAATACTTAGGCTTGCATTTAGTTCCACTTTCACGCGACGTTCAATGTTTTGATTTGCTCTTTACGCATTGTTCAGGCTATCATAACAAGCTATGACCAACGCGACGATTGTTTAAGCCCTGGTTAAACTAGCTACTCATATGAAATTTAATTCTCGAAAGCAGTATCGCTTTTCTTATCGCGATCACACGCGATCGAGGTTATCCCGGCAGGAAACAAACGGATTTTATTTAACTAGAACAAGCTCACCAAATACAATCACCATTGTAACACAACCTTCAACAAACTTTGGAAAATTTCGAAAAGAAAGAAAATGAAAAAAAATATACACATCCACATAAAAACACATAAACAGGGAACATGGCACTTCCTAATACAAAGCCAACCACCACAAAACCTCCATCGAACAACTTTTCTTTTATCCAAAAGTAAATCTGCTTTCAAGAACTTTGATTGTAGTTTTAAATTTGATTTAAATTAACTTTACAATTCCACTGGCATTGTTACTACTTCTCCGAGTCTTGTCACTATTAACAAGGCATAAAAAGTAACAAGGACTAAAATGTGATCCTTTGATTACCGAAAAATCCTTTTCCCCTAGTTTGAAAGCTATCAGGACTAGGGCTTGGAGGTAGATCTTATACCAGTAACGCAACATGAAAAGGTGATCTACAAGCGTTACTGGTTTGCACTGGTTTCTGGTTTGTTCTGAATAGTAGTCTCAATAAAGTCCGAGATTTGGTGAAATTTGAGCAATATTTCGATTTTTGCAGAGTTTCCCATTCATTTTACCATACAAAATTCAAAATTCTCTCGCAAATCGAGATTATAATCAAATTTGTTCCAATTTCCAAACTTATTGTTCATAGTTGACCGGAATAAATATTCAACCTGGTTAACAAATCATGCCACACACAATTAATCAAGTGAACATTTCTCTCATTTCCATTTACTATCCAAATAAACATCGAAAAACGTAAACGAATGTTAAAAACATTTAATTTTTTTTTATCCCCCACAGAGCCCTCCACATGAAGGAACACCCAGACTATAAATACCGCCCCCGAAGGAAGCCCAAAACGCTGGTGAAATCACCAACACCTGCCAACGCAGCCAGCACATCCTCGTCCTCGGCATCCTCCAAGGAGCCCCTCCGATCACAATCTCCCCAGAGCAAATCACCCTACAACCCATCACCCCTCAACACCCCCATCAGCCTCCCGCCGGGAATCTTCCCCTCCTATCACTTCGCCTACGATCTGCACCAGAAAGCGTTCTGGAATCTCTACGCTCCGCACCTCCTCTCAACGATGGTCCCATCCTACAGCGTGCCCCCACATTCTCCGCATCCGTTGGCCTACATCAAGCCCTCCAAATCATCACCACCTTCCCCGATCGCACCTCCCTCGCCGATACCGTCGAGCAATGTCATCTGACCAACACCGCTACGCTACAGCGCCGAACATAGCGTCTAAGATGGCACCAGCATGTAGCCATCGAAGGCCCCTCAATCTCTGCTACCAGCTTGTTTCTGCTTTTCTAAATAAAAAAAATCAAATTGAACGCAGAACAGCGAATTTGAACTTAACTGTTAGTATGTGATAGCCCCGAAGGAGAACTGAAATCTAATTCATATCATATAAATCTACGATTTCTGCGAAGTGAAGGAAAACATCCCCGGTGAAGTGAAGCATTGATTTTACAATGACTTAGTTTCGTGTTACAAAAATGAAATCAAAATTGTTACCGATTAGTTGAATTTAGTTTTCCCGTTTTAAAGCTCGATCAAAAATTACGTCTCATTTTTCGTTCACCTTTATTGATAAGCGTGCAATAGGTTAAACGTATAAGTACTTAAACAAAGTGTAGCTCATTAGTTTTTAAACGATGTACATAATTTTCCAACTATCAAAGGCAATTCCTGAATCAATGTCTCAAATACGAAAAATCGTTATCGAAACCTAATATGGTTGTTTGACAAGAAGGTAATTAGAAAATGCCAAAACAATGATCACTTGTGAACGTGCCAAAAAGGAATACTGCACTCTTTGTTAGGGAAAGATGAGGAATAAGAATGGTGACGTACGACGAATTCATCATGATTGAAAGAAAATTAATGCACATATATACATGTATCTGTAAAACTTCCGATGAGTTGGCTCACTGCTCAATTGCTCATTGAGTTTTTCTTTTAATAATAAAACCAACAGTAATTATGTCTAAGATGCAACCGTTGTCAATTGATCGATCCGAAAAGTGTGCCCTGCAGAAATACAAATTCTACTAAATATTTACCCATAATTCTTTAGAGTCTTAAACAAACCATTTATTTTCCTCTGTTCAGGACATAAATCCACTGCAACCAGTTATTTGATCTATATTCCGTATCCTTAATTTAGTGCGTGTCGTATTACTCCATAACTATTGAGAAATGATGAAGTATTCTGTTTTGATTAAGTTGAAATTCTTGCCTTTATCGCAAGGATCCGACTCTAATGTAGTTGTAAAACTTACGTTCATTTGCTGTTTTTTTTTAAGTTTCAACATTTGGTTTAACATTTCAATTGGGTAGTCTTTGGCTCTTTATCTTTGTTCTAGTTAATTAGTTACTCTAATGTGATGATTGCGTTTAGCTCTTATTTACAGGATACCCTTTGTGGGATTGTTTTGGATTAAATTTAATAATTTGATAACCTACCTACTTGAGCACCTAACTTCTTAAACTAGGTTGCCAAATCACGAATGATCTGGTGGTTTGATCGCAGACAGGCGACTCTGAAACTTTCCAGCGTGGACGTCTTTCGCTCCTCGAGTGTTTGAAGACCGGCCAGGTGGTGAATCTCAGCATAACGAGTTCGCGGTGGACTGTTAAGGATCATTCGGAGGATCTTGTTTTGGATCCTCTGAAGCTTTAGGTGGTGGCACTTAGCACAACTCTCTCAGATTGGCATACCACACTCAATAACCGGCAGAATGATCTACTTGTGGACAGCAAGCTTGTTTTTGAGGGACAGGGTGGACTTCCTGTTTATCAGAGGGTAGAGCGACCTGATCAAGATGTTACACTTGGTGGATGTTTTGTCCACATGGGATCGGAATAGCAATTTGCTATCGATGGTGAGACCAAGGTAGACTACTTCACACGACCATTCAATGAGAGTGCTATCAAGATGGATCTTAACGTTGGCAGGCAGAACAAGCCTAGGTGAGTTCGAGTGTGGAAACATAATGGTTTGTGTTTTAGCTGTATTGATACAAATCTTCCAGATTTTGAAATAGTCGGACAGACAGCCTTGAAAACTGTTGACGCTTTTGATGACGTTCGCACATCCAATTTATGTCAGTGTTATAGTTCGTGTATAGACGAGTGAACTTTTGTTCATCTACTGAAAAAAGATTGACACAACAGCGGGGTCCTGTTTACTAAAAATGAACACATGAATAATGCTCGCGTAAAATTTGAAAAGGGACTTTCAACTTTTGGAAACAATTTGCAAAGTGCTTTTCACGAGAACCGAAGTACGCCCACGCAAACTAAGAACACTATCCGGAAGGGGAGAATTTCCCCTACCTGATGGTGTTGTTAGTTTTCGTGAGCGTATTCGGTTGGCGCTTAACAAGTTTTGTGTACAAATGTTTATAGACCCGTTTCAAATGTTACGCGAGTATTATTCATGTGTTCATTTTTAGTAAACAGGGCCCCGCTGTTGTGTCACTTTTTGTCGAGTGAGTGAACTCAAATCCATCCGTGCACTCGTCTATGCCGATGACCATGACCCCATGTTCATCTAGCAGTTCACTGCTGTCAAATCATAAATGAATTTTCAGCTTATACGTGAAGATCGAACAAAAATAATGTCTATGTTTTATCTCTGTCTAAAGAAGGTTCTGAACTGCTTATTGGAATAACAGACATAAGTGAAACATTAATTTGATTTTCGTTTCTTATTAGAATTGCCATCGTAAAAAGCTCATGTCAAAACGCACGGGATAGATTATATTGAAATTCAAATGACATTGTCTACTTCATATTTACAGTTGTATTTGGTGAATCCTGGAGCTGGATTGCTCAGAAATATTAATGTAAGTATCTCTTTCAACAGATGAAGAGGGAATAAATTGTTCGACAATGTTTGACAACTGTATTTTTTTAGGAATTACGTCGTCAAATTGAAACCTTGATTCTTCGCGGCCAATATACCAATCCGAACTGGAAACTTCTTCAGGAGCTGACTGCGCAGGTCAATTGTTCTATGATCCGGCGAACTCTATCGGAAGCGCGGCGCAGATACGGATCACGTGAAAGGTCGTGGACGAATAAAAAAAAAATGCATCGACGTAAAGGGTGATACGGTCAAAATTTGGTCAAGGGAAAACGCGTGTAAATCGGTGAAATCGTTTATTTAAAAAATCAAATTAAATTTCTTTTTCAAGTTCAATTAGTATAAAATTCAGGAAAAATATTCAGTTAGGCTTCCGCTTTTCCAAATCCGAATTGCCGGGCCTTACGCTTGACCCCTGCCATCAGATTTTGTACAGCCACCTTGTCCACCTTCTTCGCCGCAGAAAGCCAGTTTGCCTTGAACTGCTGCTCGCCCTTAGCAGTTTTTTTGGTCTTCTTTAGGTTCCGCTTGACAATAGCCCAGTATTTCTCAATTGGGCGGAGCTCTGGCGTGTTGGGAGGGTTCTTGTCCTTGGGAACCACCTGCACGTTGTTGGCGGCGTACCACTCCATGGCCTTTTTACCGTAATGGCAAGATGCCAAATCCGGCCAAAACAGTACGGAACAACCGTGTTTCTTCAGGAAAGGCAGCAGACGTTTATTCAAACACTCTTTCACGTAAATTTCTTGGTTGACAGTCCCGGAAGCTATGAAAATGCTGCTTTTCAAGCCACAGGTACAGATGGCTTGCCAAACCAGATATTTCTTTGCGAACTTTGACAGTTTCATGTGCTTGAAAACATCTGCTACCTTTCCCCTTCCTTTTGCCGTATAAAACTCCTGTCCCGGAAGCTGCTTGTAGTCGGCTTTGACGTAGGTTTCGTCGTCCATTACCACGCAGTCAAACTTCGATGCTCTTCTTGCTTGGACGGCATTTTGACAACTGAAGAGTGAATTCCAAAATCAAAATAGGAGCAACATTCTACACACACACACCTTCAAAATGAGGGGTGTTCAGGTTTTTTAAATGCAAAATTGAAAGAAATACGTCAAGTTGATATTGACCAAATTTTGACCGTATCACCCTTTAGTGTATCTTCATGCTCAGCTCCAAGGCGGGTGCTTGCGGTCAACGACGGACAACCAATGGCTCGGGTCTAGCCTGATGGATAGAAAAGCCTTGTTTCGTCTTTTGGCTTTTGGTTGTAGGTTGCATTCGTATTACCCGCACTAGTTCCTTATTTAATACCGTTTTTTTATTTATGAAATAAATTTCCAGATGGGTACAACTGTGGACATCATTTTCAGCTCTATCCAATACCGTGGCAAATAATGAGGATGAAATACGACGCTTCACCCAAGATATGAGTGTTTACCCTAGCTACATGGATTCCGGAAATTATTGCGAAACTTATTTTTGAGATTATCAGCTAGATGGATCAGTACTAGTTCAGTGTTATTTTTAATGATACGATATATGCATATTGGTAAATCTAAATGCATTTAGGATTGTAAATCAGATTAAAAAAAAACCAGGTGATATCGATACAATGGAATAATTCAAAGGAGATTTTTTTTTTGAAACGCTACAATTAAAATAAAATAAAATTCGATGATAAATGAAATGCGTTTGGAGTAATTGATCAAATCGAAAATATGATAAAAGCTCATTGCTCATGGATGATCTTGGGAATCATCATCCATCCAGTTGTACAATCCTGGAAGGATTTTATCGAACAGTTGCTTACTAAGCAAAATATTCTCCAGCGTGTCATCGGAAAGTTTCGTGCGCTTTGTAACCGTTCGCGAAGAATGCTCGAGGTTCAAGAGAAACTCGGTGGCTTAAGCGCCACTCCCTTTACGAGAGACCACCGGTCGTGTTTTCTTTGCCCGACTTAGAGACTAATCCTCAATGAAATATAAAACTTTAACGGAAAAATAATCTTTATCGAAAATACACCTTTATTGGATCCATTTAACATCAGGGAAACCCGCAATCTCAAAGAAGTCCACAAATTAAAGTCCCAATTTTCATTAGACCTAACGAACCAAGATAAACCGAATGTGTCTGATGCGAATCCAAGACGAGCCCAAGAAGTCAATGTCGAGCGAGTCAGCTAAAAAACCGTGACAGAAAAATAAGTAACTCAACGAAAAAACTTCAAATTTCAATCTATATTCACATTCATTCGGGTTGGACTAAACTCCGTTGAAAAAGCAAACTATTCATGGCCATGAAAAGAAAGTACGGATATACCTGCGCAGGTTTTTTCGATGCGATGCGATGAGATGATGGCGACGGATGGAGCGGTAATGGCGGCCGGTGACCTTACCAAGGTCCTGGCGATGGTGACTGTCGACCTTCCGACGACCTGTGATGATGGCGGCGGTCTCGGAATGGCGCCGATCAAGCTGCGGAAATGGCGTGCAGCGACGAAAAGTGACCCGTGTGCGGTATGGCCGAAATTAGAGGTGCGGAGGTAGTGGCGGAAGGCTCCCGATTTGCTTTCTAGAGAGCTGAGCATTGACGGAGTCGAGCATTTCCCGGGAGATTCGCTCCGTACCGTCACACGGCTTCGCGAACTTTGTTTCCGCTATGACCGCCCGAGATGAAATGTAATCTTCTCCTCTTTGGTTAAAATCCGAACCGAGGTACGCAATTGGCTTCGTACTTCTGCGGTCCGAGCTCTCCAATGTCACGGTCCCCGGGGTTGTAACGTAATGGGGACTCTACCAAGGGCTTTTGGCGACCCTTGGGGAAAATTTCGCTTAGCATAACTAGCGACTTCACGACACTCCATTTATCTACCTGCAAGAGGCGAGCCTTCGCAATGCACCCGGGTTTTTTTCCGAATCTAACGGACGGAAATGGTGGCCAAGTTGACGCCACGACAAACCAGACGGTCCGGTGACGATGGAAGCCGAACTCGCCGAAAATTCTAGCCCGAACAAAAAAGGCCGTTAAACGAGCTGTCCAACGCGAAATCACAAAATTACTCATCTAATATTTAAATTTGCAAAATTAATTAACAATTACTTTTTGTATTTAGACACACT